ATAACATATTGTTTAGGGTAATTTGGAATTTGTTTGTGGTTTTCATACATCTATGAAAGTCATAATATTTTCTATATATAAACTTAATCTCTTTTATTTTGACTCCTTTGACATCTGCACATTTGTAACAGTGTTAGCACTCCCTCTTCATGTAACAGATGATAGATAAAACACTATGGTTTTGCAACAGTTATGATGATTGCTAAAACATATACATATATATTTAATTAAGCTGTTTCTGTCAAAGCTCTGATTGAGGGGGGAGGCTTCTTAAAAGAATAATTTCAGATTTTTGAGTTTTTAAAATTTCCTTACTAAGGGTAGAGAATATATCGCCTCCTTGCCTTTGTTTCTTGGTTTGTCCAAATAAGGGACAACTTTTGGCCCCAAACTCTGCCATACTCAAGCTTGTGTGGGTTTTTTTTGTTCATACATTCAGAGATTGTAAACAACACTGGTATAGGGCTCACCTGAACTTGACTGAAGTATTGTTATAGAAGAATTTTTATGTGCTTAGATCAGACCTGTACGTCTTTGAGTGCTCTCGTTTGTCTCTTGTGCTGTATGATATGAAAGAGAATGATCTAAATCAGTTATGTTAAAAATGCAAAAAGAGTTTCCTTTGTTTTATTTGTCTTTAATGGATTTTATTACAAATCTTTCAAATGTTTTAATTGTTCTTTACGTTTTCACTGGAAGAAAAGTGTTGCGAAGCAGTATTTTTTAATTTGTCGTAGATTGATTTACTCATTGTTGGCACTCTCAGTTTCTAGCCAGTGTGTGACTCAGTAGAAAATTTTGTAGTTGACGCACGTGTGTGTGTGTGTGATATATGTGCACATAAGAAAACAGAAATATAAGAGAACAGTACATCACAAAAGAAAAACATATATACATTTTCAATATAATCCTAATGAGATAAGAATACTTAGTTTTTCTGGATTGGAAAACAAGAAGATTTGGCCATTATCTTCTCAAGGACCTTGAGACTTCTACCTGCTCCTTTACCAACTCAGTCCGACTTGCTATTACATGTTATAAGTAGCAAGTTGAACTTCCATAGATTATATTTTTGTTAAGTAACGCTTAAAAGCATTGCTGCATTCCCTGTATCCCTGCGCCTGCACAACAGAACTCGGTGAGGGTTTCACTGGCTGTCCCAAAGCGGGCAGAGATGAACATGTAGCAGCTTGGGCTGAGTGTGAACAGGGGCACATGTGGCAAAGTTATGAGGTCCCTTGTGTGGAAATGGCCGTTTTCTTCCATTTGAAAAATACGACAGCTAGTTTCACCTTGTTAGTATTTTCTTGATAATAAATAACCTATACTGTTTTGTCTGATGTTTTCCTCTTAAACTTTACTGCATTGTGCCACTGCTACGTGTCAGTATTAAGACAGCAGAAAAAGATTTCAGCAAGCTTTTTAAAATGCCGGTGACAACAGATTCCGCCATGCCTGAGGGTGAGAGCCACCCCTGGGTATGTCATTGGATGGCAGACGATAATTGCAAAGACAGAGTAAAAAAAAATTAAACAGAAATTCTTCTGCTTACGACACTGTACTTTTTAATAATTTTTAAGGTTAGTGCTTCAGGTCTATATCTTCCAAGAGACTCAGAACTTTAAAGTTTCATTTTAACAGATGAGTTATGCTATGAAAATGGCACCTGTAGGTGCCACAGGTAGGCTTGTGACTTATATTTATTGCAGTTATCTGTTGCATACTTTCAGAACAATTAGTTTTTCTTGTTTTTACTCCTGGAAAAGCTCCAAACTAATTGAAAATAGGGCATTAATTTTTCTGGCTTGCACACTAAGATGGGGTTGTCAGTGACTGTGTTCCACATCTGGAATGTTTGCATTAACACTGCCAGCTGAGTTATGCGGGTTGGATTTTCTTTTTTTAAATTGAAACTCCCAGTAAATATGGATTCTAAATAGTCAAACATTTCTCACTGTGTGTCACCAATATGAAAACTTTTACCTGGGTTATTTGAAAGGTTTGTCTTGCTATTTTTTGAATCCCGTTTCTTATTTTCTCTTTGTCATTTGGTAGATATCCCAATATGTTGAATGATTTTCTGTGTGTTTGTGATGAGTTTTTGTGTCATGTAAACAGCTTTAACTGCCTGGTAGGTGTTACTGCCATTTATCACACCTTGTTTTCTGTGATTTGTATTACACCATTTCTCCACTATCTTTTGTAAAACAATCCACTTGTCCAGCAGATCACTGGACTTTTACCAGATCACTTGGAGAAGTGATAGATGCCTCATCCTTGGAAACATTCTATGTTTCTATGATTTGTCTTATCTCTTGTTTAAACCATTACGGTAATTTTCGTGCTAACAGCTTTATAATTCTGATGCAAATCCAAATGATGGCCAGCTATCACTCAATTCACATAGTTTGGATCTGCTGTTTTGGTCTTAAGTAGAGTTGTTGAACAGTAAAATATACTCTGTAAATTTAAGCATGCTTAGGAAAAACAGAAAGCATTGTATTGTCATGTATGAAAGAAAATTGTTTCACTGTATTAGCTTTAATGTCCATAAATGTGCAAAATAAGCCAAGTACGGTGTTGGATTATTTTTTGTGTTACCTGGAAGTCATGCTAGAATTGATAGAACCAGAAGGGAGCCTACTATTGTCAAATGACTGTGAGTCCAGAGCTCGTCTTAGGACCACACTCTGATATGATTCATCCTATAAATCTTCAATTCCTAACATGGACACAATTTGTCATGTGTGCAGGACGGAGGGACTGGGCATGCGAAGTGCTTCAGACACTGCAGCCGGGTCCATCTGTGGTGCTCAGTCCATTCAGTGCTGCTCAGCTTTTTGTGACCAGATGGCAAGCACTTCAAGCCTGAACTACAGCAAATGATGGGAAGGAACGATTCACAGCTCTCAGAACTCACCAGAATCTCATTCCTGGTCCTGCTCGTCATCTTTCATTGAAGACACAGGCAAAGGGGCATTGAACAAATTTGTCTGGATAGCTTAGCCGTTTAAGAGTGTGAACACAAGTTCCTGTTGCCTGAGAGATATAAGGAAGCAGAAGAAAAGCAGCTCATTGCCTCATGTTCCCCTATCCTACAAATTGACATTATCAACAAGTTAATGATGCTTATAGTAGTGGTTCTGTGATGTGGACTTCCACTACAAGATCTTCTTAGAGATAATATATTACTTTTTTAATATATATTTGTGTATATACATATATATACACCAGCATGAAGTCTAATTTACTAACAAAAGAGTGATATAAATGATATTATTTACAGAAAAAGCTAGGTGTTTGGGGACTTACAATTTTAGAGTTTTAATTCCTTTCTTAGTCTGTTGTTTCTCTTGCTTATTCTTAAATTGAATATAATCAATGCCTAGTACATCCTGTCCTTAGTAAATATCTAGAATGTTGTTTTGAAAAAAGCATCAATCAACACTGATGCTGTCCTTTCCATAGTCTAAAGACCAGTTCTGCTGACAACACAATCGTGTAAGCTGCAATTCCTGAGCCAACAATATCCACAGACTGTAGCAATAGCAGCTGCATATCTTCCCTGGCACGGAATGATTTAGGGTGGAGAGCAGATTCTTTCCCCCTCAAATCACTTCAGAAAATTCTTGGCAGAGAGCCAGCTGATTTGTTTGTTCAAGTAGAGAGGTTTGATTTATCAGTACAGAAAATGTAGTCATGCACTGTGCTGAATTGTATGAATTCAGTTTTTGTGTCCCGGACAAGTTGACTTTGTTATTCTGCTCACAATGTTTTTTTTTTTTTTAATGCAGTTACTAAAAATATAGAAAAATGCAAATTTGAGAGAATGTAGCCCTAGTACTTTCTTCATTGCAGTTTATGATATAGTTTGTGATATAGTTTGCAATACAGGTGTGAAACTGGAAAGCGTTGGTCTGGGGAGTTTGACTGGGAAATACAAATTAAGACATGCAAGATAAAAGCAGTGCAAGGAAGCAACTATGCATGCCAAAATGAAATTGCAATCCACAGATCTTACAGTTCAGTTTCTTTTTTTTGCTTCTGAAATACTAGATCTACTAAACAAAGAAGCCTCAATGTAGAGATAAGATTTGTGTTATTTTCCTACACACGTTTCTTTTTAGTCAGTTTTTCTAAGTTCCTACTAAATTATTTCTAAAGGAAATTCTCTGAAAGTAGTTTTTGAAGTAATAATGTAAGGTTCACTGTGATTCACAATAAAGCAAAACATTTAAAATCTTCTCAATGCTCTATTAAATCAGTATGAGATGTTCTGGGCTATAACCCTTTGGTAACATTTAGAGTTTAGGAACTGTGTTTTTAGCTATAAAAATTGTAACGATTTATATTTTCATGTATGTATGCATGTGCAAATTATATATTATAGAGAGAGAGATTTTCTATCTCAGTTCTTAAACCATGATGCCTGAATGTTTTCCATAACTCTGAGGTGTTGACATCAGATATATTTTATTCTTCTGTCTACTCAGCAGAGTATTGTATTACTGGAGGCATAGTCAGCTGAAGATTGAGATTTGCTGTTGTGCAGCCTGAAACTAAGGAGTCCTGTAGAAAATCAAGGAATGACCTGTTTCAAAGACAAGAGATAAGAGGGCAAGTATTTTGAATGGACTACGAAGGCAGAATGTTGATACGGCTTTCAAAATCCTTCCTTTTTCTTCAGCAGAATTAATCTTGTCCTGCTAAAATCTGGCTTCAACTGTTCACTCTATTTTTAGTTACTGATCTTAGCCAGGTCTTCAAATAGCTTAGAGCTGGTGTTGTTTGTGTCTGATGTAAAACTGATACAGACTTGGCTGGTATTTTCATTCATGTTTCATAATCTTCCCTAGTGCATACATGAAGACAGTATCTTTGGTGTGCTGGGAGGAGATATTTGTATTGATGTCGAGTAGATCAGACACCCGTTGTTTGACACTTGCAGTGTTCCTCATGTGCCCATAAAGGAGTAAGTGAAAATATTTTAATGAAAATGAAATTACTTATTTACATTTATCTGCGGAGAGGTCTCACAGTTAGAAAGGTTCAGGAAGTTCTCTTTTGAGATTCCTTAAGGGGAATCTCAGAGTAACCCTAAAGTTTCCCTCTTTTTTGTGTATTAAGTAAGTCCTTCATACAATCTTGTATGCCATGAAGAAGACCGTAAGTGTAAGATAGAGGTAGTAGTTTAGCTGGCCCTTTGAGAAAACTGTTAATTCAAAATTAAGTCATTAAAGAGCTTTTCAAATGTCATTGATCGAAAGCTTGCTTTCACAAGAGAGAAAGAATACGTATGTAAGACCTTGGAAGGAGTTTTTATTGATCAATTAAATTAAAATGGGCACAGTGGGGAACAAATCTAGCAACAAAAACTATGAATAAGCCATTAATATTTCCTTATAAAGTAGTTGTATCTCTAATTACATTACTTTTTCTTACACTGCTGTATATAAGGAGGATCATTAACACAATTTAAAACATCTGATAAGAGTTAATTTTGAAATAAGATTTTTCTTCTTTTCTATGAAATAATGCATCTTTTCAGGCATTGTAGGATTATAAACTCTCAGATTTAGAAAATCGGGATGTAGTTGTTAATTTTGGTTCTGTGTCTCTGAGAAATGCATTCAGCAATCCATACAATATTCCTGCATTCTTGTTCCTTTAACTTTACATAGGCATAAAATACTCCAAAATGAAACTGGTTGTTGAATGCAAGCACGTTCAGCTTTACCTGTGGAAAAGATGAGACAAGCGTTACAATAAAATATTAAACGTGGCAAATGTGATTTTTATATGGTAGCCTTTTATGATCAAGATTTCTACGTAACTTTGCAACCATGACTGTATTTAGAGTCTCTTGAGTATAAATATAATTAAAATGTCATCTCTGGGTTAATTTTGGTAATAGACTACAGCAACATTACATGTAAGTAAAGGACAGTGGTGAAATATCTTCTTCAGTAGACTATTCAAAAGAAAATTCATTAAGCGGTTTGAGATGGCTTTTGAATCCACATGAGATGGCTTTTCACAAGGCTATCAGGGTTGGCAGTTCTATAACTAGTCTTCAGAAGAATGCCCTGGGATTTATTTTATTTAAAAAGGTAAATCATTCTATTTTCATTCAGCCAAATGTTGACAGGCGTAGAAATACTGTGTTCTTGAATACGAAGCTGAATGATGCAGTATAGTAGAATCAAAAGCCTAGTAACTCATTCTCGTTTTAAATGTTACTCCAGATGGGCAACTTTCATTTTGATATTTTAAGGTTAGAAGCTCTTACCTCATGTTCAAAAAATGCATCTTCCAGTGTCTTTTCGCCAGTGCCACTCCCTACACCTTCAAACACAGCCTTGTATTCCTAAAAGCATAGACAACCACACAATGGAAATAAAGTACTTTTGCATTCTGTGCAGCACAGATACCTTACATTATTAATTAATCTACATTAAGTTATCTTTCTGTATAGGAGAACTCATGTATAAATTACAGTTCTACATAAATCAAAAGTTAAAAGCATATAGTCAGCAAAAGAAAGAAAAATCACATTTGTTCTTGTATTTCTTACCGTCATTCCTACAACTTAAAGTAATTTACTGAAGGCACTAAAAGAGACTTATTGTAGAATGACACATGACCTTTCACTCCTTTAGACAGAGAGCACTCAACTTCTTGTACAAATAGTATTCATCAGAGCCAGAGCTGTAAATGGAGCCAAAACCCTGAACTCTGATCCTCACATGGCTGCTCATCTTATTTCCAGTAGTCAGCGGGATTTGCATTATCTGCGTTAATATTGTATCTAAATCCATTAGTCTGGTATGTCATCCTGGAATATTCTGCCAGAGATTTTTTTACTTCATTTCTTACGTGTTACATTTCTGTGTAATTTCCTTCTCTGTGTATTTGTTTTGTTTCTCCTATGAGGTGGCAGTGCAGTATAGGTCTAGTACAGTGATTCCCAAATTCATCTAAATATCCCACCGTCACATGAATAGACTTGCTCCGTACCACACTGACATGGGGACACGTGCTTCTAACATTCTGCTTATGTGCATGTCCAGCTTTGTGTCTTCTGTGGAAAAAGCAGTAGACCAGACATAATTTTGTTTTGTGTACCTACTTGGAGGTAGCTTAAATATTATAGGCAGCCAGAGTATGACAGTTAATTCATAGAGCAAGTGCTGCATACTGGTTCATCTTTAATAACAGCACTAGTCGCCTCAGTATTAACAACTTGATCTACTACTTTGATTCAATCAGTGATTTAGAGAAATATTTTCAGAAGGGCATTTTTATGGTACACTAGTAATAAATCAGATTTGCATTCATCTGTGACGTGAATTGTTTGGTCAGCTCATTTTAAAATTACTTATGCTTTTGCTTCAAAATCTCGGAGGCAGCAGCTGTGAAGTGAAACTCAATTTGGAAAGGGTTAATGAAGTAGGAAAAGTTTTGTTTACTAGAATGTGATTTAGTCTTATTTAAACATCACTGTGAGAGGAGCTTTGTATTGCACTAAGGTAATGTCGTGGTTTAGCCCCAGGTAATAATATATCTTATGTCCTCCTATCAAAAGCCTTTGATTCCATATACTTCTTTATGGGATGTTCTTTTGCTGACTTTTTTCTCTCACAAAAATGCTTTTAACTTATGTGAATACTCTTTAAAATTTTGCTGACATCAAGAGACATTAAGTATTTGTATTTTGGCTTTTTGTTTTAAGAAATTAGATTACATACTGCATAGTAATCTGCAACACACTTCACTTGCTCGTAGTCATCTGCATTGGCCAACAGGTGTAAGCCTTCTGGATATAGTTTTCCACAGGTTGGATACAGCTTCTCTCGGTCATCTTTACTCAGCTCAGTGCCAAATGAATTAATGGTGATGATAAAGGCACGTCTGTCTGCCTCAAACTTAATATGCAAAACAAAAAATAAAGCGATGTATTAGAGATCTCATTCTAAATTAAGGTAGGGGTTTGGGTTTTTTTTTCAGTAAGCTAAACTGTGGAAACAAAAAAAAAGTGGACTTCAGAGTACTAGAAACATACCTTATTTTAAAAATTTTAAATACTTATTTGCAAACACTTGTTAAATTTTAACTTGAAAATCAAACAGTGTTTTGCAAGCACAGCTTTTATTCTGTGATTTTTGTACTCAAAATACCAGCTCTGCTACTTCCTCATTTCCCTACTTAGTTACACAGATGTTGACAACAAAAAATGTCCTCACACACCCTTTTGATGTTACGAAATAATACTCTTATATATAATAATAATGTCAGGATGGGACCAAGAACCAATAGTACTGTTGTGGGGTAATCCAGAGTGCTGTTGAGAGTAAAGATTGAGTGGAAATCAGGAAAAAAAAAATAGTTTCTGAATGCACATATTTAAAACAATAATTTAATAAGGTGGAGGAGGCTGTTTACTTGCCAAGTTAAAGTTTGTAAGTGTTTCAAATAACAGTTAATTTTTAACGCATAGAATCAAGGGCTATATTTCTTCTGCCAGGTTTAGATGCACTCAGTATCTGTATTTTTGCTCAGCAGAAGACTGAAAGTCATTCTAATGTCTAGATCCCAGATTGTTCTTTTGTACAAGGCAAAATTTCACTTGCCATTCTTAGAGTATGAATAAAAAATGTAATGTTAAATAAAAATAACCTTACTCAATTCTGTCTGATTTAAATCTATTATTCTGTCTTGAGATCTAAATTGACTATGGCTTTATTTCATACAATCATAGAGTCATAGAATAGTTTAGGTTGTTAGGGACCTCCAAAGGTCATCTAGCGCAACCTCCCTGCAATAAGCAACTAGATCAGGTTGCTCAGAGCCCCGTCCAACTTGACCTTGAATGTTTCCAGGGATGGGGCAGCGGCCACCTCTCCGGGCAACCTGGGCCAGTGTTTCACCACCCTCATTGTGAAAAATGTCTTCCTTATATCCAGTCAAAATCTGCCCTCTTTTCATTTAAAACCATTACCATTTCTTTCCTGTATTACTTACTTTCATGTTGTAGAACAGCAGAGCCCTTGCTAATTGCGGGGATTACGCAATAAAATCTTCCAAGTGAAGCATGTACAGTATGTGCACATTTTAGGCAGCTTGCAAAACTTCTTATGCTGTGAATTTTTGAACTGTTTTAAACAGAAAGGTATTCTTTTCCTGTTGAGTAACAAGACTCCAGTTGCAACACCGTTCTACAACTTCATCAGATAAGCACATATTCGTAGATCCTACTCCTGTGTGCTGGAACACACAGTACAGGGACCCAGCTGCCCTCCGGCCCTAACTTGAGAGTAAGGAAAATGAATAAATGATAGATAATGAGAAGAAAGTAAGTGTGCTTGGAAAGATTTCTAGCTAATGAATAACAGGGCCTTATTAATATGAACTTGCCTTATTAATATGAACAGGCATATCAGCCCTAGTGAAACTGTTTTGGAAGCACAAATGCTTTGTTTTTTTTAAAGCCATGTAGCATCTAGCTGTTCGATTTGTAATATTTTATCAGGGGAAAAAAGCATGCTCAGATGCAATTGCAACTAATGCTAGCAGGTTTGGGGCCTCGTTCTGTGTCTCCCAGTTTGAGAAAATTTGCAGGACCAGTCCCATCCATACAGACCTCTCAGTTCATTGAATTTTTGGCACATGAGGTGAGTAAGGCCATGAGGCAGCTATTTGGTGACTTGGGCCATTTGATTGCTGCAGGTAGAGGTGGAGTCACAAGATGGCCATTTCCTAAGTGCTTTCGTTTCCATAAGGGACAACTGAAGTATCACTGTTTGAGTGTGCTGTTTGAGAATTAGCATGGAGCCCTAAAAACAGGCACAGCACTAGTGCAGTCCTGCGGTTTCTTGCCAGATTCTGGGTTAAACATGCAATGTTTGTTGTCCGTGGTGGAAGAGAGATTGTCAGTACTTTTAATGTGGAAGGTTGGCACTGTGTCTGGTGGTCAAGGAGCTGGGGAGCTAAATACCTCAGTCTCATTCACAGAATCACTAGGTTGGAAAGGACCTTCAAGATCATCAAGTCCAACCATTAATCCAGCGCCACCATGTTCCCTAAACCATGTCCTGAAGCGCCACATCCACACGTTTTTTGAACACTTCCAGAGATGGCGACTCCACCACCTCCCTGGGCAGCCTGTTCCAATGCCTGACCACCCTCTCAGTGAAGAAATTTTTCCCAATATCCAATCTAAACCTCCCCTGGCACAACTTGAGGCCATTTCCTCTCGTCCTATCGCTGGTTACTTGGGAGAAGAGACCAGCGCCCTCGTCACCACAACGCCACATTCTGACAGGGTCAGGTTGGTTGTCTTACATATAAGATTACAGAACAAATAGCAAGTATTCTTTTGAATAACTTGGGCTTTTTGTGAATTCAGCCATTAGCAATCTGCCCTATGTGTGTCTTCAGATTATTAAAATGTTATAGAAAAGGAAATCTTCTACAGAAAAAGTTTATCCTCCTAGCTGATTGACATTAGATAGGGATTTTAAAGCAGCTTATCACAGACCAAACTGTTACAACTGGTGCAAAGAGAGTTTTACAACGTGCTTAAACTAATGTTGGTAAGTAATCTGCTCTCAGCATGAATTTCTAGCTCTTGGGCTTTCTGAAAAATCTGAATAAACTGTGGAAAATGTCTTTACCTCTGCCAACCAATCTCTTAATTTTTATATTTCAGAAAAGAATAGTCAAAATGCCCAATTTCTGTTCAAATTAACTTGATTAAGAATATTTTCTTTAGAACGTAAACTGAAACATTAGGAACTGGCTAAATAAAATATGAAAGTGTATTCCCTTTTAGGACATTGTTCATAAAATGTAATTTAGGCTCATTCTTCCTTCAGGATTGAGCTCCCAGGGTTATTCTCTCTCTCCTATAATGCAAACTTTTAGTGTGACATCATCAGGGCTCAGTGAATTTTCTTCCATCAGTTTCCAGGGTGTAAGTTATGCTTATCCAGAAAAAAAGACTCCTCGAAGCAAACGGGTGATCTGGCTCTCAAAGTCGGCAAAGAATTATGATAAACTATGTGAAAAGAAAAAAACTGAGCTGAATGCTGAGAACTCAATTTTAGGAATTTCTGCATCTTTTATTACAATAACAGATATAAAAATATCATTCACTATGCTGCACGTATGCTTTGGGGAGGAGGATGTTAGGAATTCTGCATGTCATGGAAAAAATAAATATTAAACTTTCTGAGTTCAGACCAAAATGAAACATGTAATGTTGGACTTTTATGTATAACACTAGTTCTAAAGGTCATTCAACTCTTAACTTCAATCGTTAATTTTAATGGGAGAGTAAACAAGCATAATAGTGGCGTGAAGCTTAAAGATTATTAATTAGAAAATATACAGTAATGCCAAGACCTTAGCTATCCCAAATTTAATTTTGAGCTAGGAGGTGTAAGAATAATGCACTTTTTAAGTTTTTCCACATAATATAGAAAAAACGTTAAGGGGCAACAGTTTGAGATTAGTGAACTATTTATTCTGTTCTGCTCTCTGTTATAGAAAAATATTAACTGAGGCTGACTGCCCCCTGGTAATGGACTATCTGCTTCTCTAGTCAAGGGATAAAAGTCATCCTAGAATAAAGTCTTCATCAGACCTTAGAAAAACAGTTATTTTTCAGAGAAGAAGCAAACATTTGACAAATAACTTTGTAAATCGAGAGAGAAAGAACAGGAAAAACAAAGTAACCTAATTATGAAAACATTGTGGAGTACTTTCATGTCCAAAGACTGAATTTTTCTTACCTCGAGAATAGGTCTCATGATTTCTGCTGTAGTACCACCTTGTTTTTCACAAAACTTATAGAATGCCTCAAGATAAGACTACATGAAAGAAGAAGAGAGATATTTTAAATGCTACTTAAGACCTGCACCAGCACAGCACATAGTCATGGACCTCATTTTTAAATACTTCCATTAACTTTGACAATTCTACCTATGAATTTAAATTCAAGTATGTGCTTAAAGACTTTGCTGGATTTTAAGCTGAAATATTAAAATGCAAATGCCTTGTCATTACAGTATGGGTTCAAATATTTCTTAAAATTGTTATAGGACAAATATTATGTTTTCTGTGCTCTCTAAAGAAGGAACTTCTTGAGTTCCATTGAGCTTCCACTGCATAATAAGCAGATGGCTGAAGGAAACCGCATTTATAGTGTGGAGGAGGGGATTTGGGAATATGCCATGGCTGTTGGGCCAGCACTATGAGGATACACAAACTAATCCCTACTGCTCTACCCTAAACCCTGGATTAAGGCAGAACAGCAGACAAAGCTTCTGTAATACTGGCCTGCAGAGCCCTCTGGTCTATTAAGGTTTCTGGCCTTTGCACCCATTTCAAAATACATGTGCAGGAAGGACCCTAAATATCTCAGAGATGCTGTTCCCTCTGCCTCCCTATCCTCCAAAATACTGTCTTAGGCAACATTTATGTTATCAAAATGCATTTGCTACAACTTTGCACAATCTTGTTAAAAGAAGCTGTCACTAACTATGCAATTTAATGAATTTTAACTGGAGACATCTCAAGGGGGATCTGCTGCATGGGATTATGTGTTAAGTTCTGTATAGTGCTATCTGATAGTAGAGCTGAAACATAATTGATCACATTGACAGCTGAAGCACAGGAGACAGGATATATTAATAATTTAGAAGTTTTTGCAGAATGATCCCCCGATACTTAGAAGAGTGAGAATTAAAAACAAAAAAATAGATTTAGCAAGTGTAAATGTGTCGTTATCCACACAGGATATAAGAATCAAATCTGTATGTTATCGAATGGAAAAAAGAGTGTCTAGTTTAGTAGTACTGTAAAAGAATTAAAATACTTGGGCATAACTGATGTTGTTTTGAATGAGAGGAAGTAGCAGAATATTTAAGAATCAAATACTGGCTTGGGAATTCATAAATGTCATTTGTAAGACAAACAGAAGAATTTTTCTTCTTTCCCCCCAGTACAATCAGATCACTGTAAGAATACTTCCTGCAGTCTGGGGCATCCCCTGTGAAAGAAAGATAACAAAGAACTTGGAGAGAATGTGCCAGCAGGAACCATTAACAGAATGAAATATGTATAGCCTTTAAAGAGACCATCCTAAGAGTATTGACCTGTGTGCTGATATTTGTAAAGTACTTTGAAAATGCAAGGCACATATTAGATGCATAGCCTTACAGCAGTGTGCTGTAGCAATGCTAAAGATAATCTAAAAAGGAAAAAAATTATACAAAACCCTAAAGTAAAAAAAAAAAACCAAATGCATTAACTAGACTCAAAGCAATTAGTCCTTTTCAAATCACATCTACCTTTTATAAATAACAATAAATGTTAGCCAAAAGCCTGTCTAGGCTCACTTAAGAGCTAACAGTTCTGTGGCATTTGGTAGATCACTGAGTTACTCATAAACAAATGGATCTGGATATTAACCTGACATCTAAAGCATTTTCATTAATGAGGTATTAAATTAGAATTTGGACACAGACCTAAAATTTGAAAACTCTCCAAACAGTGGAGTAGAAATGAAAGGAGCTGGATATGATTCTTGGGCTTGTCATCAGCAGGGTGACCTTAGACAGCTTGCTTTATCTCACCATGCTTCTGTTTCCCCATCCATAAAACAGGGCTAATGATACTGACCTCCTTTTCTGAGACACTTTGAAAAACCCCAGGTATTATCATTCAGTTGCAAGAACTTGCCTTGTACAGTTTGTTGCGCATTATTTCAATGTTCATTTCATCCAGGTCATTTTCAGACAAGCAGTCTTGAAAGAAAGCAGCTGAAAGCAGAGTTTATTATATTGCAGTATAAATCTACATGCCAATAATATGCATCTCCTGTCTATTGCCATTCACCATTGCGTGAGCAAGGATCTGAGGTTTCTGTACAAGAGTGATGAGATATAACAGAGAGGAAGAGAAATCCTCTTGATTTTCCGCTTATCCTCCTATTCCCTCCTTTTTAATGAGAATCTGCTGTGTGGGGAATCAATCAGTGCCGCAGCCAGAGTCCACATCTCCAGAGAGAATCAGATGAGAAATGCTAATGAAAGCCCTAATCTTCTCTGAAGTATATAGTTTGGGCATTAGGGAGATTTTCTAGTGAGGAACATGAAAAATAATTTTTAATCATGCAGGCATTTTGCAATTTTTAACGAGAATCCTCTCTCCTATTTTCCCTCTTCCTCTTTGGATAAGTCTGTAGTGAGGGAAAGGCAACAGGTTGCAACTATTAAGGGGCACAAGCTTTGAGCTTTACCATCTGTGCCTCCAGGTCCTCTGCAGAACTGGCTAAAGAGCAAGCTTTTAAACAGGGAGGCAGAGGATGAAGTTCATCTGTGCAGGTGGACTGCTTAAAAATACTGTATTCATAACCAACAAAAGTATTGCCAATCCCTCGCTGTTCCTAAGCCATGTCCTTGGGACAGACCAGTGCTGCCTGGCAGAGAGCGTTGTCTCAGACAGTGGCAATGGAAGATGGTAAAGAGAGCGTGTGAGCCTGCCTGTGTTTTGTGGTCTTCTCCTTCATACTCCCCCAGCATCCAGGTTTTGGATGAATATTGGAGGATGTAGCCCTGACAGTTCCCTTTAGTATCTCTTTGTAGGTTCGTTGACTGAGAATTTGTCCCATCTGTTTAAAAATGTGATACTACTCTCTGCTTTTACAAACCTGTTTAGCAAAAAAAATTCCAGAAATTTACTACCAGCTGTGTAAAAACAAAATTTTGTATTTTACCTGTTTTAAAACTAGTTTTCTGCTGGGATTTGGTCTACTAATAGATTTGATAATCAACGCTTCGCAGCTCACTATGGCCACACCTCAGGACTTTGTAAACATTGTCTGTATCTTTCTTTAGCCTTGTCCTTTCCAAACTGCAGTCCAGCCTTTCTGTTCTGTCTGCACATGGTGGCACTAAGCCCCTTGTTCATTTTAGATGTCCTTCTCTGTACCTTTTCTGATTTCCCTGTACGGGGTGTTGGCAGTGGGGGGCTGCAGGGCAGCCTCTGTGAGGGGAGGCCCCATGCCCCACACAGCAGGTTCCAGCTGGCTCCAACAGACCCACCAACAGGACACACTGAGCCCCTCAGCCAAGCTGGTGGTGCCTCTGGGAAAATATATTTCAGAAAAGGCAAAAAGTCAGGATGTAGAGAGGAGGAGGGGGAAAAAATTTTGAGAAACACCAAGGTCAGAGAAGGAGGAGGAGGAGTCACTCCATGGTGGTGGAGCAGGTGCTCCCTGCTGCCTGCAGAGGACTTGCGCTGGAGCAGATGCTGCTGACAGGGACGGCAGCCTGTGGAGAGCCCGTGCTGGAGCACAGAATAAGTGTGAGGAGGAAGGAGCGGGAGAGAGAAACCACCACATACTGACTGAAAACTCATCCTGCTCCTTGCACCACTCACCGCCTCTCCAAAGGGACTGAGCGTAACCTGCAGTGATAACGAGGGCAGAGGAGAGGAGCCTGGAGCGGAGGAGTGGGAAAGTGGGGAGGAAAAGTGTTTTTGCCAAGAATGTAAGTGTTTGTTTCTTTCTGTTTGTTTGTTTGTTTGTTTCCTAATACCTGAGTCAGTAATTAAATATCTTTGTATTAATCAACAATAAATCAAGTTAATTTTCCCCAAGTTGAATCTGTTTTGCCTGCAACGGTACTTGGTAGGTGATCTCAAACCACAAGCTCCCTTTTCCCCCCTGCCCTGTTTTCTCCCTGCCTGGTGCTGGGGGTTGAGTGAGTGGCTGGGTGGGAGTTTGGCTTCTGTCTGGGGTGAACCCACCATGCCTTCTTGAGAAGCAGAACCTAAATCCACTGACACTACTCAAGATGAGGGCACACAGTGGTTTCATGTGAGTTCAAATCCACCCAGTTCCATCTTATTCTCAGTACCCTTCCCAGCAGTGTTCCACAGCTGGTTAGTTTTTGTTTGTTCACGTTGGCTGCTGTAGCACAATACGCAGAGTTTCATCCCAATTTCAGAATGTGACGTTCCCAAGCCTCGCTCTGTTTTGCTTTGAGACTTAGTTCTTCAAAACAGGGATTTTCTCTATGTTTGAATCATGCTCAAATCCTAAGAGGGAATCTAGGTTCTACCACAACATCTCTCTATCCTTTGTGAGGGATAGGCAAGATTTCATCTCACATTTTTAATTATAGATGCAGGTGTGGAAATAAAAATCTAGATGCTCTAAATCACTGGCTACTTTGGGTATAAAAGGTATCTATTACACTTCTTGAGTAGCGTGTTTTCCTTGTGTCTGCTACCCAGGGTTGATACAGAAGCCGTTAATAAATGTTACTAGAAAATGTCCTGAACACCACTTCAGAAGTGCTTCATGTTTTGTGTTACCAAAACACAGCATATCCAGTGGAAAACATGCTATTCCATCTGAGATGTTCTTAAGAATACAGGATGAGTAGTTTCAAAAAGCAAATAAGAAACAATTTAATGTTCCTACCTAATGGTGTGTCAACCAAAATTGCATTGAACAGCTCAGTGGGGTTTGAGGCAATGCTGACTGCTTCCATTTGCTCAAAACTCCCCAGTGGATGGCACTTCGGAACAAGTTCGGCTATGGGCCGCTGATGTAATGTGCCAGTTATTAAAAGAATTATGTTGTCAATCATGTAGCTGTACCTGTATTTGAAATAAAAAGTAAAAGAAATTAACCTTAGCTTTATAATGAATTTTCCTTTGTAAAAATACAAACCCAAGATTTTTGAAAAATCAGTAATAATACTGAAGCCAGAAACAACCACAGTATTTGCAGGTTTGTATGCTCACTCTGTACCAATGTCTCATTTCTCAAAAACAAACAGAAGTTTTTAAATACCAGGTAGGTAACACAGAGTATTAATTTGAAACACATTAATCTGAAATTAATTTGAG